GACTGAGATCTGACCACTGAGTTTAACAACATGGAGGTCACCGCAGCCCTTGATGGGAAGTGGTGCAGACAAGCAGTTGGCTGGGGTGGATTCAAGAGGATGGGATGAGCAGAATTGGAGGCATGAGTATAAACCACTCTTCCAATCAGTATTACTGAAAAGGGCCAGAGAAAAATGGGAGGTAATAGCACCTTTACAGTGTTATTTGCATTAAGTCAATCCCATATTTCTTGACCATCTAATACATGCTAGAGATGGGCTTGAAATAAACAAAGCTGGAGCCATGTCTCCCACCGGGAGCCACCAGCCAGCAGAGGAAATTCAGCTACAGTGACAGTGTTTTAGTAACGGATTGTACTAAGTTCTATGGGCATAGAAAGAGGCAGGGACAAACAGTGGGTAAGCTCAGGGAAGTGGCAACTGATCTTGGAGGAAGGGTGGTGGGGCTGGTAGAGTCAGGGAAGAAAGTTGTTCTCAGCAGAAGGAGGTGAGTGCTGTGATTATGCCCAGTTTACAAGCAAGAAGAATGAGGCCTTCAGAGCTCAGGGCATTTCTGGAAGAGCTGGGATTGTGATGCAGGTGTCTTGGCCTTTTTCCTTACCGCTCTGTGGTGTGTACAGGTATAAGGGAACAAAGACAGCACATAATGGGGACTCAGGAGCGAGTCTGGGGTGCAGCAAACCTCCTTGACTGGCCCAGAGGATCTGTGCCAGGCCAAGCAGAAGGGGAGCTTTCTAGGCTGTTGGTGGGACAGCTTTGATGGCTGCTCTCTTGGCCCTGGACAGTTGATTGCCAAAAGGGGGCCTTTCTGAGCACAGAAACCAGGGGAGAAGCATCAGGGAGGAAGCCGAGGTGGGCTGCAATTAGGGACCCCATCACCAGACCCTGAACACCAGGAGGATAACTGATAAGGGGCTTAGCAAACAGGGCAGCGGCAGGAGAACTGGGATGGGATGGGCCCCAGCAAAGGGCGTCTCCAAGGAGACCCAGCAGCTTTAGGGCCTGTCAGCCTGGCTGAATGGAGAAGGGGCTCCTTTTCACCTCCTGCGGGGCCTGAGCTAAATGAGTTTGTCTCCCAAGCTCAGTGTATTTGAAGCTGCTTCAGCCGCTGGTTTTCCCCTCCTCATCACACCCTCTGGAGATGCAGGAAGAAAATCAGCCCAGGAGTAGTGCCCAGTGCAGCAGGCCTTAGATTCCCCTCCTTCCATCTCTTACATAACCCTCCTGCTCTCTCCTTCCAGCCTGCACTCTTCAGCTACGGGTTCCTGTACTTGTGTTTGCGTGTTTCAACTCCGAGCAACTGCCCACAGGGGCCACCAGGGCCACGTCATGGACTATTCAGCTGAGCGCTGAAGGCGGAGCTCCTGACTCATCCTGCCCTGGGCCTACAGAGCAGCTGGCCAGCTGCCTGGCCCCATCACTCTGCTGCCTCCGATGGCTCTTCCAGCCCCTCTCCACAGGCAGGCCCAGCCCCAGTGGGGAAAGGATCCCCGTATTGTAAAGAAGGCAATACAGTGTTACCCATTCAAACTAGAAATAATTCCTGACTCTCAAACGGGCCAGATGGAAGACTTTCCTAAGGTCTGGTTTGGGGCAGGGTTTGCAAAGGAAGACCCGAAGCCTTGCTTGGCCAGGTGGAAACAAGCTGACTCAGAAAGCTCATCCCTGTGATTACTCAGGGAAGACTGTCATTCAGCTTGAATTAAGGTTAATCCAAACCAGGGGGTCCTGGGACACACACATTTGTGAGCATAACTTGGCTGGTGGATTTGGGGAAAGGTACATTCTGGTGTCCACACTATCTACTTCCTCTGCTTATTATTTGAGATCCAAGCAGGAAAACAACAGGGAAGAGGGCTTGGGGGAAGCCAAGGGATAGCTGGTGCTTTCAGGCATAGTGTGCTACGATGTTCTCTAATCCGGCTGTGAATGAAAAATGTCGCCTGCCATTTAGGCAAACACAGGATGCTACAGCCATCAAGCCTTCAGTTACTGCAGCCACCCTCAATGATGCAACCTGAGGGGACTCAGGATGGGAAAGCACAGGATACTGGCCCTAGATATTAAAGGAATGATTTCCATGAGCCCAAGACTTTTGCATCGTCCCATATAGAAAAGCGCTAAATTCATAAACTTGAGATGTCTAGTTTTCTTTAATTAACAGTAATCTTTTGATGTTCTGACTACTTGGTTCTTGTTGCAAAATTCCTATATAACCTGGCTCCTCCCTTACCCCTTCGGAGCATTCCCTTAGAGCTATCTGAGAGGTTGACTCCTGAGCTTGAGTCCTCAGAAAGTCTACTGAAAAAAACATTATTCTCAGCTTTTAGTTTATGCATTTTTTTTCAGTCAACATCACATTTCCTGGACACCGCCCTACAGCAGATGGAGATGGTGGAACTTGGCCAGGCATTTCACCTGGCCAGTATATTCTTTTTTGGCCACAGCAACATGATTTTCCTTTAGGGAAATAAGCTTTCCCTCAGTCATGGTGGGATTGTCAGTCAAGCTGCCTGCCTGTGATGGACATACAGGGTGGCAAATCAGACTCTCTTTCTCTTGAGTAGACATGAGATCAGCTGCACAGATTTGTCCCCGTGGGCCTATCCATGTGATGCTGCTCCTCAGATCCCAGATGGCTCTGACTCCTGTCCTTTTCCTGCTTGATTATTCAGTTCTTCCTCCTATTCTGGGAACTACCCTGTATCCTACAACACATTCGTTTTCTTACTGAGATTATCCAGAGTTGTTTTCTGTTGCTGGCAACCTTAGAACTGTAAGTGATAGGAAAGCTAATCTGCAGCTTGTCCTTGGACCTGATCCTGCACAGGGACAGGCTGACATAGGAGGCTCACAGGAGCCAAGAACCCTGCTGTCCCCAGTGATGGTGGAGCCCCGGAGAGAGGTGGGGCCTGCTAACAGAGCCACTCAGCTGCACTGTGATGTCCACTGAATAAATGCCTGCCCCCACTTCTTTGCTGTGTGCTCAACATGGCCATGAAGAAAATCCCTTCCTATTTTGGACTGCAGTTTCCAAAACATTTTCACCTTATCTGTGTCCTGGGTGGAGGAGCTCGAGTTTCTCTCAGAAGGAGAGAACCCAGCCTCCCAGCGCTGACTCCTCACAGGGCCAGGCTCCAAGGTAGCTGTCTCCCTTCTTGCCCTTCTTCTCCCTTCCAAAACAGCTCACCCAAGAGCCCTGGAGGTAGGTTAGCACTAGGAGAAAAGGAGAGTGTATGGCAGAGAGGAAAGAACCAGACAAATCTATCAGCTGCAGCTCTGCCACCTGCAGAGACGTGGCCAGTTTTGCTCACTGTTCCATCTGCAATGGCGGCGGCGCCTACTGACTGCCCAACGGAGGGTCATTCTCAAATGAACCCGCTCCTAAACTGGGCCCTCCTTTTCCCCTCTGAATGTCCACGACACCCTATCTCTGAACCTCCCTGGCTGTCGCACCCATCACTGTAGTTCTGCAACATGCTGCCCTAGGAGGCAGTATGCCCTCTCCATCAAGGTGTTCAAGTTGAGTTTGGAAGACCATCTGACAAGGCAGTTTTAAGAAGATTCAAGCTCAAGATGGGAAGTTGGGCTAAATGAACTCTAAGATCCCTTCTAACTTGTGTTTGATTATTCTGTATCTGTTTCTTGTTTTAACTTTAAAATGTTTTTTGTGAATTTTTCAAGCATACAGAAAAGTACACAAATAATAAAGTAACTGACAAACACCTGTCAGATTTAAACCTCTTGCCATGTTTGTTCCAGATTCAAATAAACTCTCTGCAGATTTGTATGTGTGTGTTAATTAAATATGTACTGAGGTACAATTTACATATAAAAAGTACAAAGATTTTGAGCATACAGTGTGGTAAGTTTTGACAACGGTGTACACATATGTAACTACCACCCCAGACAAGATACGGAATTTTCTCTCATGTATCTTTTTCAGTTAATCCCCCCTGCCAAGGGAATCACTGTTCTGATTTCTCTCACCATAGATTAGTTTTGCCTGATCTAGAACTTTCTATAAATAGAATCATATGGAATGAATTCTTTTGTCCCTGACCTCTTTTGCTCATCATAATGTTTTTGGGATTCTTCCATGATGCTGCAAGTATCAGTACCTGATTCCTTTTTATTTCTGAGTAATGTTCCATTGGATGAATATACCACAGTGTATTCACCCAATAATGGACCTTTGGATAACATATTTACCCAACATAAATGAAGGCATACATCAACAAAAAGAACAGTATAAGTATATTCATAGCATCTTTTCTCATGATAGCTCCAAATTGGAAACAACCCAAGTGGGTGTTCTATTTTTATATGAGCATCTTTCTTTCTAGACGATGAGGACAGGATGCTCCCTGATTCATCTGTGTACCCTCTGTGATTTGAACATAATAGAAGAATAAATAAGTCTTTGTTGAATGGATGAAAGGCAGAGGAAGGAGAAGAGTTCTCCAAACCTAGGGCAAGAGATGAGGGGTAAGGTCAGCTCAACTAGGTGTAAGACAGAATGTCAGCAGGGAACATGTAGGTGTTTGTTCACCCAGGAGCCTCAATGCTAAGCTCATATCCTAGCACAGGGTAAGTGTTCAGGATATATATGTTGAATAAATGAAAAGAAGTAATCATGCTGTGGAGTGTTGAAATCACTAGGTCCTCTTCTTTTCAGACCATCCTAACTTCCACAGCAACCTTGCTTAGTGGAAAGACACACCCACCAGGGTACAGGGACAAAGGGACAGTGGCAAAGAGAGAGAAAGGCCTAGAGGTAAGGTCTGGAGATAAGGAAGAGGAGATTTCCAGAAGATAAGGCAGATAAGGAAGAGGGAATAAGGAAGAGGAAGTTTCCAGAGTAAAGTTAAAATAAATTAAACTGGGCTCTCTCTCTTGCCCTTAACCTCATCGCTTTCATATTTGTCCCTGGTAGACCCAAGCAAGGGTTCCTCCCATCTAAGATCAAGAAATTTACTTGGAGAGCTTGAGGGACCTACCATGTCTAGGATGTCTTGCCCTTCTCACTTTCCATTACTTCTTCAGGCGTATGCTTTCAGATCTTCATGAAGGCATCAAACGAAGCCAGAGGATGAGCAGCTTTTCACTTACCCCAGCCAGGGGCTCCGACTCTTCAGCTCTTCAGGAAATCAAAGATTTGGCTGTGGATGGAAAGTTCATTTTACAAAGGATAGAAAATATGGCCTCATTTCAGTGTTTTTGTTTCAAGGCATGGATAAATATATTCCCTTAAATATCTTAACTTCAAGTCCTCTCAGGCAGGAATGAAAGGTTTCCAGAGAAGTAAAGAGAAGAGGAGGTTTACTGGGCTCTCTGACCCCAGTGTGACTCTTTACCGCAGAATTAACATATATGGATCTAGAGATTTTTCCCTCTGATGCTCCAACTCTATCACTTGGCCTGGAAGCTGTAGGCACATTAATTTCCAGGAAGCAGTAGTGGGAAAAGGACACTAGGATTCCAAGTTCCTGCATCCTTCTGGTTGTACACCTAGCTATTTATACAACCTCAGGTAAGCCTGTTGCCTCACCTGTATAATGAGACGGCTGGATTAGACAATCTCCAAGACCCTCTTCCAGCTTGAAAATCTATGCTTCTAGGTTTACAAGCTCAAAGCCTTGATCCCACTGGTCCCACCACTATAAATGCACCGAGGGGAGATGTTCACAGCCATCTCCTGCAGCAAGCTCATGTGTTTTGAAGATTCACATGAATGTTTTAAAGACTACAACTCACTGTTCATTCCTATTGAGGTGATTTTCCTGTTTGCAATGTTTCCTTATTTGAGGTCCAATTCAGAAATGCTTTTAGTCAACTGTCAGTGTAGACGGAGAAAAATAATCTGGAAGATTTTCTGCTTTATATCCTTGTTGATAATACAAACAAGGCCCAACCGCCTTCAGAGGGTGGTGGAAGGCTAGGAAATTCTCATCCTTTCAGGGCTAAAAATAAGTATTTGTTGATGATCTGGACAATCTGATTGCTTGAAACAGCAGCAGCCTGAAGTCTTACACCACATGAAAGAGGAGGGTGCATTTCCCCGGCTGGGCCCAGGGACACCAGAGTTTAAGTTGACCTTTTGAAAAGGAACACTGAGAAACTTGGGTCTGTGGTTCCCATCCCCCACCTGAATTTTCTGGGCCCAGCACTGAATTTTACATGAAATATCCTAAGTACATCCTTTAAGCTGAACATCATTTATTTCCTGTTAGGATTTAAAGTGGATTATATATTCAGCCTGACCTTTAGAGAACTTATGATACGAGGAGGATTTCTAGGGATTCACTTTATGGAAGATCCTGGAGATTAAAGAGAGTTCAGTCAATAAAAAGTTTTTTTTCCTACTTGTCGACTGACAGAGCCATTGGTCTTGAATGATTCTGTTTGTTCACTTTGACCTTCCTCCTTTTTTTTCAAAAGAGGCCAAGACCTTTGGAAGAAGATGGACCTGGCCCCAGATTATGGCTTTGCCCCTCACCCGTTGTGGGACTGCTGCGGACACACCTAAGCCAGGCTTATCACTGGGCAAATGGCAGGGACCACTCAGAAAGATGGTGAGTATCTGGAGAGCAAAGTGGGCTGATGCCCCTTTCCCCACAGTGATGTTCCTAGTAACACTGAAAGCCACTCTTAGGCCAAATTCTGCCAAGCAGTCAAACGTTTATTATTAGCACGCTGGTACAACACAGTTGTAGAAGCTCTTCACCCAGCCTGTTTTGCAGTGCTCCAACAAAGACCATGCACAGCACATCTGCTCAGAGGTGTGGTGCGTCTTCTCGGTCAGCACGGAACTGGAGGGGCGTAGGACCCATAGGGATGCCCTTTGGCATTAAACTGCTGGACTTGCCCACTTTTTATGCCTCATTTATGCAAAAGCACCAGAGGCTGTGTCATATTTCTAATCAGTGACCTATTTGAGAATGCATCTCCCACTCATTTCACCAACAGAAATATTTCTAGCATCCCTTATGCTAATTAATAAACTCTTCAGTGTAGAGTTCCATACTGTAATTTAAGTGCTAAGTAACTCCTTCTGAAGATATTGGTCCTTGATTAGGGCACTTGATCTGTTAATCACACTTAAGTGTTGACTCCTGACTTGTCCTTGAATACTTACTACTGCCCTTCACAGTATACATTAGAGCTATCTTGTCTAACTATCGTAATGTTTCTGCTGCAGCATCCCTCATCCCTTGCCTTACTTCCAGGAAGAGAATCTTCACTGTTGCAGAGGGTTTGGAGGGCAATGCAGTTTCCTTCTTTTCTTCCCTCCCTGTGGAATCCAGGATGATTCTTTAATTCCCTTTTACACTGTAAACCAATGGAGTTAATTGTTTCACACACACACACTCTCTCACCAATTTTCTGTCCCCTCTCTTCTTCCCTGTTTCTTATTAAGTTGTGGGCTTTAGATGCACCAGGATTTCAGAACTGGGGTCTAGTACTGCATATTCACTCCTCAGCTGTATAAAACAAATACCTCCAGACCAAATTGGATACTTGGGTCTGCCTCTGGCTTGGTTCCTGGTTTCTCTTTCTTCTCTATGCCTCCCTCATCCCCAGTCCTTTACCACCTTGGAGAAGTTTTGTCTGCCTGTCCCAGGCCTTGCCTGGGGAAATAACAGAAACTACCATCACTTCCAGGGATGGTCTTAAACAGCTTGGGGTGAAGAGGAAGAAAAGGCAGGTAATGTCTCATAAAATGTCACATCATTTTCTCCTTTTCTGGTTGTTTTTACCTCAAATAAAGTCTTGCTGTATCTGGTCTTTGTGCATCTGAAACCAGAGGTTATCTTCAGAATCTCTCTTTCATCACTCCAAACTTGACCCCAGGGAAAAATGATACAGCATCCAAATTCAGAGGAGTGTATTTGAGGTTGGCCAGGGTGGGGAGGTGCTTACTTTATTTTTCTTGCGTGTAGTTTCTCTGACTCATTGGCTGTTTTCATTTTCCTCTCAGTGATCAAAATCACAAACCTTCACGTCCGTCCCATAAAGCAGCTGGGGATAGTAGCAGAATCCTTGGAGCCTCCTGCCTCCCAGGCATTGGGAGGCAGCCACATGCTGCAGAGGGAGGACCGGCACGTGTCACCCCATGAGCTGGTCTGCGTAACACGTGTGCTCTGGAGCACAGATGTCAGGGCTCCTACTGACTCCTCAGACAGAAGCCCAGGCCTTGCTTTCTTACAAATGAGAAATGACTGTGTGTGTGTTTGTGTGTGTGTTTATTTCATTACAAAAAGTTCAGACAATAAAGACATCTTGTACATAAAGAAGACTCCCACCACCCACCCATAATTAACATTACAGTGTGTTCTCCTAGTCTTTTCAATATAAATATAAAAGTAAAAATTTTTGCAAAAAATTAAACCACACACACATGCGCCTATTTTTTTTAAGCCAAAACATGGAATCATACTATAAATGCCATCTGGCAACTTACTTTTTTGACTTACCATGTTGTAGACATCTGACCATGTCAATATGTAAATTTACAACAGTGTTTTTACACTGCTGTTTTTATATGACCCCATGGTATTCTGTTCTATATGTACAACTTAACTTATATCCTATCAGAAGTTTTTTTTTTTGCTATTATAAATGATGCAAAGATACATATATGTACAGTTATTTCTTAGAACAAATTCCCAGAAGTAGGATTGCTGGGCACACCATTATTCTCAGTACCTTCCCTCTGCCTCATGTCTTATCACTACCTGTTTTCACAAATTTCATCTCTTTTGGGGCACTTATTTCCCAGCAAATTCAGGGGCCTGTTACATTGTGAATAAAGCAAAGGAGAAAGAAGCAAATGCTTTGGATAAACTGCAAACATTTCTTTCTCCTGCTGTCCACATTTAAACATCTGTCTTCCTAGAGATCCTTTCAAGGCTACCACGCAGCCAGGTCCCAGGTGTGTGTGGAGGGCAGACCACAGGCAGAGGGAACAGGCCCTCAGACAGACACTCTGCTTCCTTTTCCCATGTCAACCCTTCTCTCTCAACCTGTACACTGCTTTCCAATACCTAGAGTGTGCTTTGCATGCAGAACACTTTGTGATCTGAATTTTCTTCTTCAAATTACAGGAATGAAGAAGCATCACGTGTTGACCAGCTCTTCTGATTTCCCTACTGCAACTAACACATAAGTAAACTATTTGGTCTTGTCTCCCTGTTGTTCTGGTGGTCACTGTTCTGTTCTTCTTAACACCTGATGCAGTGAGAACCAATCATTTGGGGCTGGACACAGTAGACAAGGGGAGTGCTGGGAGGGACAGGCACATCTGGACCAGGGGAAGATCCATCAGAGAGACCCCATTTTCTTCTTGTTCCTGTTTCTCCTTTCGATCAACTCACTCTTTCAACCTGACCAGGGGGCTGAGAAGGAGCACAAAGGTGAAAAGCTTTTGACCTTCAAGTCATTCAGCAGCTCCAGTGAGTGGATGGAGGTGGAATTTGACCTTGTGGCTGGGAAAGTGGCCTGGAGAATCTCCATGGGAGACTAGTGAACTGTAAACACTGAATAAACGGAAAACCTAAGTCCACACCACTCCCATAAGAGAGACCACACCTGGGTTTTGGTTTAGTCTTTTCATCGCCTCAGATTACTGATGAGAGGAGCAAATGGGATGACATTTATTTGCTTCGAAAATAAGTTAGAGCACCAGTTAAATGCAATAAATTAAGGTTACAGACTATCTCTAGCCCTTATCAACATAGATAATTAAAAAATTAACTATACAAGAGCAGATAGCTGCTGGAAAAATAACTTGTCACCATACATTGTTGGTACCAAGCTATTTTGATAGGCCAGCATAAAAATGTCTATATCTTGGTTACTTTGTCTGAAACAAAACTGTTCAATTTTTAAACATCCCAGTTCTTTTAATTCATCAAATTTATAGATATCTTTCTTTAAAAATAAACAAATTCTTCTTCAAAGTACACAAAGCTAAGGGTGTGGGGGTATTAAGTACAGGCAGACGTGGGGTGGACTCTGTCCTCATAGAAAAGATGGAGAAAGTGAAGTAAAAAAGAATTACAATCCCTGATTTTAAGCCAGATGTGTCCCCCTGAGATCCTGGGCCAGTAGATACTTAAGGTATATAACCAGCACCCTTTCCTATTGTTTTCCCAGCACTAAAGAATTCATGAGGATCAGCCTAAAG